GTTGTAGTGTTTAGTCACTTACGAGATGATGTCGACTTTTTAGTTATTTCAGATTAGTTTGATGAATGAAAGTTTTGTACTATTTTTTACATATCCGAGTTCTCTACAAAGACCCCCTGTTGGGGATTCAACAACCAATGATGTGCCCTGGTGGAAACTGGACTGGCACCAAGCCAACCCATGCCCTGCTGACACGCCAGTCTGACTTCGTTGATAAAGACTGTATTATCGTATGCAGTGTAGCAAAGTAGCTGATTTTAACTTGCCAAGGTTCCGCGTAAAAAATTGACAAATATCGCGCTATAGCAAAAAAAGGGTACTATGCACAACAGTAACTGATGTATTACCCAGCAATCAGAGTAGCTATACCAATGTAGTTGAGTGTGAGACTGGCTGGAATAGCTTTTGGGAGTCCAAGCAAGCCATATCTGAAAAGGAGCTCTGCCAGAAACTTTCTTCTTGAAGAACACTTTGGAAAGCTAACCTCGATGTGGCCCAGCCGGTCAGGCAAGACAGCGTGTTCCATACGAGAATCGCTAGCGCCATTCCCAATCGGTTCATAATTGGTATAGCAAAAGCATTCGCTAGAAGAAATGGATAGTAGGGCGCAGTCGGGGGGGGAGGACCATTTTGCCCTTTCGCCACTTCCCATCGTCGTGTTCATTAATTTACAAGGGTTGAGAATTATTGTTTACAAGAGTTGACAAGTGGTCTCTACAAACTTTGGCTGACACTGCTCCCTGGCTTCTCAAAATTCCACAAGTCCCAGCTTGATGGCCGGACACGTTGACGGAATGTAGCGAAAGTGCACCATGCCCCCCCCCCTCCTCCAAGTCTTACTGCTCCGAAATTTCAAAACGATGTGCTTTGATTTACATGCTATCAAGAAATCAGTGCAAGGGTTGGTTGGAAAAACTTCTGCACAGTTGATGTCTCGCAGTAGGTAGGGGCGGTGTCAGGAGGCGGGGAATGAGCTCACTCGGCGTTCTCTACCACTGGTTAGTTTCCACCTGAATCTATCGCTGGAGAAAAACGCAGCTGCGGGTAGACTCATTCCTCTCCTTCTGACTCTTCTACTACATCTGACGCTTCCGCTGATATTGCCGAATTGCAACGATATCAACTATAACTATCTCTGTTTATTCAAGGAAGGGAAGGGCGCAGTTTGGCTTGGTGGGGGCAATTTGCTGGTTACCATCGATCATTGCAAATGCCTCCTGCCACAGTTATAAACTCCTGCAAAACCATGCTAAAGCAGGTGCACCTTTCTACTTGGCAGTGTCTACAGGTCTCACCAACAGAGACAAGAAAAGTATAAATGCCCCTTCCAAGTCGAACAGCACTCACTTCTTCATGAAAATTTTAACTACCAGAGTAATGTAAGCAATGGAACAAACCTGTCGCCCAAAGAACACCTCCAACCATAGCGAGTCCATGAATGGGTGGGAAACCTTGGAAAGCATGGACCACTGTACTGACGAAAAACGCGCCAATACATAGGAATAGTTGAACTGTGAAGCCTGAAGAACCATTTTATTGTGATATTCTATACTCCCATATTCTAAACGTTTTTTAAAAACACTGATTTTGTACTGGATAGAAAAATTGGGAATGAGAATGTATTAGATTGAAAAAAAAATCAAAACCGAACGCAGTTGTTGTCGTGCCGTGACCTTTTCCCTGTCTAACAACGACTCGCACGAGGAAGTTTCTGAGAGTGATAGAAAGGAGTAAAAACCCTCGTTGAGTAGCTGTTTGCTTGGAATTGCGCCACGCCCTCTATTTGTCATAGTTGTGGTGTCAGTTTGTGCAGGGATGTTCGTGCAACGCCGAACTCAAGCCATTGTATTTTGGGTGCTGTGACAAGACAATCGTAATAGCCGCAGATGATTGCGGACGAGTCTACAAAAGGCCAATCGCTCTGTCTGGCCATTTGTATACCGATATCACTCGTTATAGAGTTTCGCTTTCGCTTCGACTCAATTGCGATTCAAAATAATTGCTGACTTGGTTCCCTAAACCGTAATTTGCCACGCTGTCGCGCGCTGCCCATCGACGACGCGCGTCGAGTTGCGACTGCCTTACCGTCATCCAATAGTTTTTTTCGGGAAAGCCTTCCCCAATAACCAAAACCGGAAGACTGCAATGCTTGGCACTCTTGCTTGGGTTCAGTTGGGGAGCTGAGCCATGGGAAAATGGGTGTGGTGCAACGCTGCACTGGAATTTGGAAGTAGCTCGTCGCAAAGGGCTGCCACAAACGGTGTAGTGGCAACAAACAAGTGCCACTGTCTGCTTGTACACGGCGAGGACCAGCCTCGGTTCCAGCAGCGCGGTTGGACCTTCCGCTTAATCATAAGGGAGCGTTCATACTTCGCGATGACGCGCTTCAACGCTTATTACAGTGGGCTCCAATGCTATACGACGCAGCCCCAAAGAATATCGATCAGCGCGACAGCTAGCGCGTTGCCTAATCCCAGCTATCCTCGTGTACTCTCTCAAATGGTTAGCGAGCTGTCGACCGATACCCTGCGTTTCCGTATACAGTACTGGAGCGCTGTTGCAGTGGTAGCGCGTTGACGAGCGTCGTAGCGAGTCGATGCGTATCATTGCGAAGTCTGAACACTGCCCAAAATATCACAGGATCGGCTTTCAATTAATCTCGGCATTAGAGACGTAACAATTCTCTTTCGTTTCGACTTGCAGGCTCCGAAGAAGGCGATGTTCGCCGAAACGTTAGTCCAATAAAATATCTGTACAAATCTCGGGAGGCTGAAGAAACATTCTGAATTATTGCTGCCCAAAATGTTCTGTATCATGGTTGTCCTGAAAGATAAAAGCGTAAATTAAAACCTTGGGAGGTTACCGAGGTATTGTTTACAGCTGCCCAGATGTTGGCGAACTCGCTGTAGGTATACAGCGTGAAGCTGATGTCGATCGATGCGAATTTCCAGAGGTTATTCGATCCCAGATCAAATAAAGCATTTTTCTAATAATTCGAAAAGTTCGAAAATCAAGCTCATAAGATTCAGGACTAAGGGATTCTATTGACATGGATCGTAACCGAAGAATGTGCCTATTTTATTCACAACGTGGTCGAGGAATGTGCTTAGCCACCATGTAATCATAGAAGTTGCTTTTCAGAATTGTGATCAGGCTCAATGAAGGGTATATTGATAAGGTGATAGCCCTTGTACCAACCGGTACCAATCACATGCTCCACAGATTCCACAACCTTGTGGCGATCAAACCAGTCCCAAACGATCGTGCGCTGGCAGATCCGAGTGCACAGAAGGAGGGGGAAGGAAAATCGCACTACTCTGCAAATAATTTTTCAAGGGGGAGATAGTTTTTTCAAGGTTGTTTTTGATTTTTTCCTCAGTTCTTACTAGGTTGTCCGGAAAGGAATGCGCGTTGAATTTTTTGAACTTGTCCATTTTTTCTCTCCTACTATAGAAGATTTTTGGAGACAGTTTTGTCTATTAGAAAGAGATTTTTATTGTGCTTCTTTTGATATATTTTTGTCCATGTCTACTTTGCTTTTTTGGGGAAAAAAAGTTGGGAAGAGCGGGTGCCGCACCAGCTGAGCGACGCAAACAAGGCAACACGAGTGGCAATGGCCGGAATTCTTCTTCGTCGCTCCAAGAACAGCGGTTTTTTCGACTCTATTATTACATCAAATGAGAAAAGGGTCTGCTTCGATAACGCAACGAGAAAAGGACAGTGGTTAGACTCCAGTGACCCTCCAAAACGGACTCCGAAACCTGATATACGCGGCAAAAAGGTGATGCTCCGTGTTTGGTGGAATAGCAAAGGTTTGATGTACTTTGAAGTTCCGGAATCGGGTCAGACGGTTACGGCGGACATCTGCAAACACCAGTTGAACCGCATGGATCCAGCACTGCGTCTTCAAAGTGTCGAAACGACGTCGACAAAATTTATCCACGACAACGCTCATCCACATGTGGCGAAAATCACTCTAGAAAAAAATTGAGGAATTGGGCTGGAAAGTCCTGCTCCGC